CAATAAAGAAAGATATTTTAGCCTCCTCTTTCAAGCTCTCCTTCACTATCCCAATTCTTCGACTCTCACTGCCTTCCCCTTCCTCGAACTTCCCTCCGTAGATTACTCACCAATCTTGTTACCATATTGATGCACCTAGCCTTCATCTCCTACTTGGATTCGTCGGAGATTGCCAAGCTATCACGGATCTATTGGGCATTTTCAGGCTGCCTCCACGGATTTCATTTGGGTCCTCAAATTACTCTCCAATTGTCTCTTTATATTAAGTAAATTGCATGATCAAGGCTTAATTACCATAAAAAGATATATATTCCAGGCTCTGTGAAACATAACCCTTCCGACAGTGCACAAAGGTTTGCTTGTTTAAATTCTTTTTTCCCCTTTTTGGTCTTAGATTGTGAAATATGATTGCTTATTTGTTGAAATAGGAATTTTAGATTGATAAGAGAACAAGATGCACAAGTTTATCAATTTCTTCCAAGACGATGGCGATTAGGGGTATAGATGATTAGAAGTATTGGAATCACGTTCAAATTTATCAATATAGGTGGGTATTTTAACGTGCACCTGTTTGTTTTGTTGTTGTGGGTATATATGCACAAATATTTGTCAATAAATGTGAATGGATTGCTTTTATCCAAAGAAAATTTGCATATGGAAGAAGATTTGTTTGCCTAGTTGCTTTAGGTTTCATTTTTTTTAGTTTCTCGAGCTCCCAAACATGACGGATCAAAAGAAAATGGAAGAAAGAATCCTAAAATTAAAAACTTAAACAAAAGTTATTTGTGATTCTGAGTTTCCATAATTGGGCTAAAAAAACTGAAAGCCTTTGTTTGGCCCCATTAAAATTATAATTCATTTTTCTCTCTACTTATCAATCACACATTCTATAATAAAATAATATTACACGTAAATCCAAAATTTTTATTTTTTTTTAACCACACATTCTTAAAAATAAATAAATAAAAATTATTCCAAATATTATAATCTCGGATAATGGGGCCAAACAGGGTATGAAAGTAATATTCCTCTCAATTTTCCTGAAGTTGCATAAAAAAAAAATGATGAGCTAAATCCACTAAGAGACATATAAGTGACAAACTATCCACGACAACCAAATCAATACCAAGTAACATTAACCAATAAAATAATAGGACAATATTGAACAATAAAAGCTCCAGCCAGTAGGAAAATAAATTAACAATTTAATCGATTTTGTTTTTATTGGAAAATGCAAGTAAATTTGAAAAAGGGAAAAGGCAAACAATGTATAGTTGCATAACCTCAGAATTGATGGTGATTAAAAAATTGATCCATGTCACTGTAGTGAGAGATTAAAAATGTATTCCGACGTTTAGTATATCG